AACTGTGGACTTTCTGCCCTCTACAGTGTCCAGCAAGGGGCATGCACATCCATCTTTGGCTCCATGTCCAAATACTTAACCTTGTTGTATAAAATAACACCTAATTGACAGAGGACTTAGTCTTTAGGACAGACTTTAGTCAAAAGCTGTTGTTTTAACTTCTTTTTTGCAATGATTGGTTCATCCTGTTTTAACCTTGCTATTCATCACCCAATGACGGATAATAGATTAGACCTTGACCCTTTCTAATGTGTTGGTTTTGTATTCGATATAAAGGACTATTTGAGGAATTTGGGAGGTCCATAGGGAGGTGTTCCAAATATCCATAACTTCCAGTTAGGTATGCCAAGGAAGTACAAAAGCCAAATCTGAAGGAAAAAAAAAAAGATATGGTTGTTATTGTTTCCAAAAACATGGTTTCATGTTTTATTATTATTATGACCCCAATCAGTGACGTTAACCAGGTTTTTTGGAGGACATCTTCAACATGACGCTCCCAATCTCTTTCCTGTTTCATATGTTTCTTGTCTCGTTCTTGTCTTCCTCTTCCTCTTGTCCTCGTCCTCTTCCTCCCCTGCAGGTATGTGCTGTACATCCACCTGGTGATTAACGACAATGATCTTGCTGGACCACTTTCTCTGGGGCTAGTGATCGCCACCTACACCGGCAACCCAAGGATTCATCCCCCTGCTGGATCATTTGCTGGTCATCTTTAATGAACCACCAACAGGTAGGTTTCATTCCTGGGAATAATCAACATGGGAGGGAGTCAGATCTTGAAACTAGTGTAAAGTACGTAGTACTTAGATTTGTACTTGAGTAGAAGTAGTTAAAGTATTGCACTGAGTTCTATAAAGTAGGAAAGTACCAAAGCTTTAGAAATTACTCTGTTACAGTATAACAGCAGCATTCAAAATGTTATCCAAATCTCTGTAGGTATTAAAGGTATCACAAAAATTGTAGTGGAGTGCTCTTGTTTGATTCACGCTGGGGGTTATTACTCTGCAGATTCTTAGTTTGGATTTAACGATCAACCAGTGTGTGTGTGTGTGTGTGGGTGGTGTGTGTGTGTGGAAGTGTGTGGTGTGTGTGTGTGTGTGTGTGTGTGGCTGTGTGGTGTGTGTGTGTGTGTGTGTGTGTGTGTGTGTGTGTGTGTGTGTTGTGTGTGTGTGTGTGTGTGTGTGTGTGTGTGTGTGTGTGTGTGTCTCCAGAACAGCCCTCTGAATTCTGGCTGGCATGGGCGTTGGAGCGTTACATCGCCGTGGTCTTCCTCTTCATCACGTCCAGATCTGCACGGTGCAGAGAGCCACCTCCTCATCGCGCTCTCATCTGGCTCGTGTCCTTCATCCCTGCCTTTCACTGGCATCATCATCATCCTCATCACTCAGCCTCTGTCTGTCTTCTCAAAGAAGGTCTTCTGTCACGCCACCTTGGTCTACAACACACCGTACCACGTGACCCTCATCAGTCTAGTGGTGGAGGTATTTGTTATCTTGTTGAATTTCTCCAGTGATATTTGTGTTTGTCACGCCTTTCCCTCAGGCAGTGGTGTAAAGTAAACTAAGTACATTCAGTCAAGTATTTAGGTACACTTTGAGGTACTTCACTTGAGTATTTGTTCTACTTTGTACTTCTACTCGACTACAGTTAGGAGGTAATTGTTGTGCTTTACCTCCATTACATTTATTGAATAGTTTTAGATTTGTTGTCTTTTTACTTTTACTTCTTACATGTGAACACAAATACCTGTACTTTCTACTTCTTACATGTTGAACACAAATACCTGTACTTCTCTACTGTTTACTTACATGTTGAACTCAAATACCTGTACTTTTCTACTTCTCACATTTTCCAAACAGGCTGGTTCCTTTAGTCTGAATGTGTGTTTGGTGGCGTGATCATTTATTATTTAGAGTCATTGCGTGCCTATTGATTTGGAACACGATCCGTGTATCCATCATTTCCGGAAACATTCATTAGCTAACAATGACATTATTGTTCTATTAATATAAAGGGAGGTCAGGTACTCTTTAAAACAGCTGCTAGTTATGGGTACTTTTTACTGAAGTACATTTCAAAGCCTCTTTACTTTTACTTGAGTAAAGAAGTTTAGTCAGTATTTCTACTTTCACCAGAGTATTTTTTAACACGAGTATCTGTACTTCTACTTGAGTAAAGGATGTGTGTACTTTTGCCATCTCTGTTAATAAGTAGTCCCCTCTTCCTCCTCAGGTACTCCTGTTCTCCTTCGTCTTCCTCATGGTGGTCCTCACCTATCTGAACGTGCTCCTCGCAGCTCGGGGGGTTTCAGGTGTGAGTCGAGCCTCGATGAGAAATGCCCGAAACACCATCCTGCTCCACGGGGTCCAGCTGCTCCTCTGCCTGCTTCATTCAGCTCAAATAATGGGAGTGAGAATGAATAACGGATGGTCATTGTTATTCCCTTCCTTCAAGTAAGGCTGGATGAGCAGTAGGTAGAGGAGACAGTATCCAACCTGTAGCCAGATGACGTTAGCAGAGCCCCACTGGGTGACCACGCTCTCCCCCAGGGAGCCGTACACCCGGCCGAAGCCAGGGTAGAGGACCCTTCCCCCAGGCCCCGCCACGGCCGCCTCCGCCTGCACCGTAGAGCCGGCGTGGATCACGGCGATGTTGAAGTTCATCATGGCGCCAGCATCCCGCTCCCGGGGGCTAGGCCGGAGCAGGAGGTGGGGGGAGGCTTCCACCAGACCTGCCCACTCTGCCAGGACCAATAGGAGAGAGAGAGTAGGTATGGCGACCATGGCAACCTGCCGAGGGGGGAGGCAGATATATATTGCACTAAGAGAGGATGCCTGAAAGAAAAAAAGAGACAGCAAAGAGTAGAAGAAGAAAGTGAAGAAGATTAAGTTAGACTCAGGTGTTTTCGTTTTCTGATGTCCAGTACAGAGGACATCAAATCAAGAGAGAAACATGAAGCACAGAAGGAGGTGTAGGTAGAGAGAGAGGGAGGAGGAGGAGGAGAGAAAGACAGAAACTGATCAGAGATTGCATACGGGCAAGATGGAGTAATGAATTCTGAATCCAATCATGGGGTAATAAAAGTTAGCATTGGATGGAGAACATGCTGGACGAGAAATAGGGAATGCAGAGGGGAAAAACAATAGAGGGAAGGAAAAGAAAGCAAGACGGAGAGAAGATGAAATGGGTGCTATTTAGGCTGCAGGCAGAGAAGGAACAATATGAGGAAAAATAAGACTGGCCGTTAGAGGGAAGGCGGGTGAGAGGGAGAGAGTTAATAGCAGACAGAGACAAAGATGGGGCGGAGGTGGTTATTGTGCTGCATGAATGATAACAACAATTAAGATCACTGTAAACACACTCGCCCTCACAGAGTTACATCCACGCACAGACACATGCATGCCAGCGTTTGAACACACACACACACACACACACACACACACACACACACACACACACACAAACACACACACACGATAGATGCATGGCTTCACTATGCCCATAGAGCAGCTTAATGATAGAGAGATATGAGGGTTAAAGCAGTGCACACACACTCACACAAACAACCACACAGAAAGATAATGACTACCTGGGAGATAGCAGGGTTAATATGTGAGCCGCACACATACACAAAAACACAGCACATCATTTTCAATTCACTTCTGTTGCCAACTTCCCTCCCTCCCTTTCTCCATTTCCTTCTCCCCGCTCCCTCCCATGCTCTGTCTTTTCATATTCTCCATCACTTCTCCCTATTTTCATGGCTTCAGGTACCAGACACAATTGCATTGATTAACAGGGTCCTGCTGACATAATATTCCCTCTAAAGTCACTCTCTCTTTCTCCATTTCCCCTTTCCTCCTCTCTATGTATTTTTCGCAACGTCTTCATCCGACTTTCGTCTCTTTGTCACAGTCTGCCGATTCTCAGGCTCTGATTACTCTTTGGCATAGAGAAGGGAAGAAGAGAGCGAGTTAAGAAGAAAAAGTCACTAGAGGATGAGAGCAAGAGGGCAAAGATAAAGGACGCTGTGAAATGAATAGAATAGAAATATATTGTAAATACAGGGCACATTTCTTAAGTGATTAATTGGAGGGAGAAGGCCAGTTGGAAGAAGAGGAGACAAGGAGAAAGGGAGGACAAAGTATAATGGGATGTGGCGGAAAATGTGTTAGGAAAGTAGCAGGAAAATAAATATTGATTACTGGGATATGTATACGTGTTTCACCTAAACAAATACACTGCCAAACCTCCTGGTTTGAGTGACAGGGCTGTTGGTTTGTGTGTTGGTGGAGGTGGTGGGGGGGCTACAGAGAAAAAAAGGAGAGAAAGGTGGAATGAGAGGGCGAATCAGGGAGGCGGATAGTTTCGGGTAAGAAAAAGAGATGGAGGTGCGAAGAGATAAGGAGAGACAGACCTGTTAGGAAAAGGAGAAGGTAATAATGAAGGGGAGAGGGGAATAAACAAGGATGTGTGTCTCTTTTTGGTTTCTTTTAAGGCGAGGAAGATGTGGCAGCAAAGAATATGGAAGGACAGAGACGAGGATAGAGAGAAAATGAGAGAGTTAAAGACGAGGCTGCAGAAGCATGGTGCATCATATCATCTGGTGGAGCTGTGTTACTGTGCTGAGCTCTGAGCCATTAACCGTTAGGCCTGTCACTGTATTTCACTCTCATGAGGTGTTTACGTTGCTCTGCCGTACCAGCGTGGGCCATTTCATCACAGAGAGCCTGGCTGGAAGTGTGAACACAGTGGATTCTTACATGCAGTATCCACTCTCCCTGCAGAGCACCACAATAAAGCAAATACAAGTACATTATAATCAAATCCTCATCTAAATATATCGTACTATATAGTTCATTATGTGTTCCAATCTGTGAAATTCTTCAAACTGAATCATAAAAAGCGTGCAGTGAAGGGGCGCGAACACACACACACACACACACAGAGAGAGAAGGGGAAGGGAGTGTGGGAGAGAGAACGGGAGAGAGATTACTGTTCCATTTGATTTGCGACCATAAATGAAGCTTTTGTTAAAATGCAAATGTTCACATTTAAGTCTATTTTTCTAGCTTTAAAAAACTATCCTCTTCAGTCTTCGGAGCTGCTTCTAATTCAGAAGAGTGTATATGTACTTGGTAAGAGACTGCCAACGACCTAGAGAATATGTAAATGATGTATCAATTAGATATAATGTGTATATAATAGGATTTAAGCTGAGGAATACTTTAGGTAATGAAACATGAATAGTAATTTCTAAAAGGTGTGTGCTTTTTTCAGTATGACAGGATCTGTCCATCTTTGTTATTGTTTTATTTGGATGATAATGTGTTCATCTTGTTATTTTGGACGTATCAAAATTGTGTAGTACGATAAATATTGTAATGTATTATTTTCTTGAATGTGACTGCACTACAAAAGAATAAAGATGGAAATGAAAACCAAAAAGATAAGTAGTTTCTTTGATGATTTGTAGAGACTTTAAAAGTTTGAATTCATCGTGGTGCAGGCACCCTCAATCATCATAAGCTGTTTAAATCAGCACTCAGTGCGTACACTAAAGTATTTGTATTGATCCCTCAATTTGTCAATCAATCTAATAAGCATCTTTCTGTATAGCATAATTATGTCTTCTGCGGATCCTGTTTAGTTGTCTTTTTAAAACAAAGAAAGTGGCATTTACAGCAGCACAGAAGCTGGAGTACATGCCAGAGACTGTTACAAGCAAACTAAAAACACCTTGAGGAATATTTACAGAGTACTTAAGAGCAGAAATATTCGCAGGCTGACAGAGACAGCTAATCAACAAGATGAGAGAAAACATTCACGCAGGCAAGCAGTAAACTTCCTCTTCCAAAATTGCCAGCCAGTACTTCACAATCAAAGCACATATTATCAAATCTCCTCTTAAATATGTCATTTACACTGCATGATGTGCTCTCTGTGGTAACACATAGGAACAAAAAGAGCACTGCAGAGGACAGAACTCCTTCCAAAGCCAAATTGCCAAATCTCATATTGCTACAGAAAGTGAACACAATATGTGTATCTGCCCGCATCCACTCCAAAATGACATTTCACCCCCTTGGCTGATGCTACTCCCTTTCACAAAGTTTCATGAAAATCAGGCGAGCATTTCTTCCCATAATCCTGTTGCCAAACAAACAGAAAACATAACCTCATGGCTGGAGGTAATTAAAGGCTTCTGCATGTGCAGCTTTTGTACCGACTACGCTGCTTTAAAAAATGTCAAACAAGGTTAGCAGGTTTGTGTAGCTGCAGGTGAAACATCTACTTTGAAGGTAGATGCCTCTGTAGAGGATTACACTGAAGCCTATATTATTCCTGCAAACTCAAAAGAGACATACTAAAAAAGTTGCATTGCCTCTAAACACAAAATTAAAAATAGATTTTTCAGTGTGATGGTGGGAGAACAATCAAAATGTTTGAGCGTATCAGAAACCCTCCTTCCCCTTAACTGCATGCTGCAGCTGCAGCGGGCGCCTGCGGTGACTCTGGGAGAGTGAGCCGCGAGAGAGGAGGCAAGGAGCCGCGTGGGTAGAAGTCGGTTTCTGGCATCCACGCCTCTCTGAGTTCCTTTCCCACTGAACTCCAATGAAGGCAGCATGCCAGACCTTGTGCTGCATCGGATCTGCTGGGAAACGTGAATGGGGAAGGAGTCTGTGGAGTCTGGAGTGTGCAGTTGTGGAAGTGCAGTGTTCAGCGTGGTGTTTACCCCACATCGGGGCTCTGCTGCTTCATTCCATCCTGTCATGCAGAGTAATGGACCTGCTCCCTGCTGCCTATGGCGCACACACTGAATCAACCCGGGCAGCTTTCCACAGCTAACACAACACACCCCAGATGTATGCATGCTAATATACAGTGTACTGTACACCGTTAGAAGGATTTGCAGCGTCTCTGTGAATAAGATCCCTCCCTCTAAGACTTTTCTGTCCATTCGACCACATTTAAGACCGCAGTGTGCTCAAGAACCCTGCTGCATGTAGGCTCTATACTTTCCTTGGGTCCAAAGCAGTTCTATAGTAACAGATAAGATAAAGTGCCATCACAGTGTGGTGCCCACAGTGTGCATATATATGAGTGTATCAATGTCTCTGTGTGTGTGTGTGTGTGTGTGTGTGTGTGTGTGTGTGTGTGTGTGTGTGTGTGTGTGTGTGTGTGTGTGTGTGTGTGTGTGTGTGTGTGTGTGTGTGTGTGTGTCGTGCGGGGTAATATGGCAGTGTGGGGGAGCGGAGGAATGAAGAGAAGAGTGCAGCTGGAGCTCAATGCTCCTCGTGTTAATTGGCCCATACTTCAATCACAGCCACTGGAGTGTGTCCTCTCTGACGGAACATATCCTCTCTCCCTCACTTTCTCTCATCCCC